CGGCATGGGTTTAGGAGGAGCCCAGGAGAGCTGTTGGGGCTGAATCTGGACCCCATTCTGGGTGGAGACTTGACTCCCAGACAGCCGGACTGGGGCGCAAGGGGCACATAAGGAGACCAGTCATGAGGATCTGGAAGCCCAAGGCAGGTGGAACAAGCCAGACCGGTGAGCTGTAGGGAGAGATGCTTCAGAGGCCAGGCAGGGAAAGTGCTAGAAACTTCATCCTTTAGCCTCATTGGTTAAGAAAATATCATTCAGGGGGCACCTGGGTGGCTCGGTCAGCTAAGCATCTGACTTTGATTCAGGTCATGATCTCATGGTTCGTGAGTGCGAGCACGTCAGGCTCTGTGCTGACAGCTCAGAGCTTGGAGCCTGTTTTAGATTCTCTGTCTCCCTCTCTCTCTGTCCCTCCCCTGCTTGTGCAATGTCTCTCTCTCTCTCTCTCTCTCTCTCTCTCTCTCTCTCTCTCTCAAAAATAAATAAGCATTGAAAAATACTGGGAAAAAAAGGAAGAAAAGGAAACTCCATTCAAGACATATCTGGCATCAAACAGAACAAACCCAATGCCCCAGGTGCTGGCAGGGCCCTTCCCACTGTGGTGTCCTTTCTGGGTGGGGCTGCCACAGCTTCTCCTGCTCTGACCAGCTTCACCCTGCTCTTGGTGAACTTCCTCTGTGGTTGCAAAGCTTCTCAGAAGTACAGACCCTCCAGAGAGAGAGAGAAAAAAAAAAGAAGTAAGGATCCACGAGGAGACTCATGGGGAAGGAGAAGTTGTGTTTCTTTCTTTTTTTTCTAACATACTTTTAAAATATAGATACATATATTGTTTTTTTTAATTTTGTTAAAGTTTATTTATTTTTGAGAGGCAGAGAGAGAATGAGACACAGAATCCGAAGCAGCCTTCAGGCGCTGAGCTGTTAGCACAGAGCCTCACACGGGGTTCGAACTCACGATTCCCAAGATCATGACCCGAGCCAAAGTCAGATGCCTAACCAGACTGAGCCACCCAGGTGCCTCAAAATATATACATTGTTAAGTTTATTTTCTATTCTGAGAGAGAGAGGGAGAGGGAGAGGCAGAGAGAGAGAGAGAGAGAGAGAGAGAGAGAGAATCCCAAGCAGCTCCACAATGCCAGCAGAGACTGATGCAGGGCTCAAACCCACAAACCATGAGATCATGACCTGAGCCAAAATCAAGAGTCAGGCTCTGAACTGTCTGAGCCCCCCAGGTGTCCCAGCAGCGTTTCCTTCTTAGAAGAGCAATGTGTCCCTGTGCTCTCCACTTCTCTGTCTCCGCTAACTCTGGGTTACAACATGTGCTAAAGTGAACACATGAGGAACTGTGCCAGTCTAGAGCTGTTTAAAGGCATGGGGGCTTTGGCACCCGGCTCCTAGTGGAAACACATTTGCTGGAAAATGCTCCCCGGCCCCAGTACCTAATTTATAATTTCTGTCTTTCTCTGTACCCTGGACAGTGGGTGTAAGAGACAAGTTTTGCTTGACAGTTTTCATGGGAACCAAAGGGGTTCCCAGAAATGTGTGTGTGTGTGTGTGTGTGTGTGTGTGTGTGTGTGGTGGGGGGGAGGTGTTCAGGACAGACGACAGACGTCTACTCCAATGCATTCTCTTGGATGAAGTCCTGAGAGTAGCAATCCAACCACAGAAACTTCACAAAGACATAGAGGTTGTTGAATATCAACAGTAAGACACTATGGGAAAACCTGGCATCAGGGCAGCAACTGTCAGTAGCCTTGTACCCTTTTGGGCCAGCTGGCCTTGCCCCCCAAGAGCTGGTTGTCACCTGAATCTGGTTGCACCTTGAGGAGGCTGGATCCAGGGAAGTTTTCACAAAGGTGGACCTTTGGAGCTGGTGGACTGTGGACCTTGGTCCCCAAAAGAGTGACTCAATGGGTCTTAGTCTGACTCAAAGTCTGTCTTCTCTGGGCACAGTGGAGTTTCAGGCCAGCCACTGACCAGAGCTCCAAACCAAGCATCAAATGGGAGAAGGTTTTTCATTGGCTGAAGGGCAAAGGGAAGGCACTATAGCTTCCCAGTGGGTGGGGGTTTTTCCCAGCTTCCAGGCTGGGCACAGGAATTTGCTTCTCCTTTACCCACTGGTGAGGCATCTTCCCGTGGCCTCCTGAGGCTGAGAACCAGGACCTACTTATTAGGACAAAGGGCAGGGTGGACAAGTCCCCTAGGTGTTCAGAGAGAAATATTCCTCATAGAACCAAGAGCTGGGGCATGGGGAAAATGGTGAGATGTTGCTCAGAGGGCACAAACTTTTAGTTTTAAGATAAATTCTGGGCTCTAATGTATAGTATGAAGACTATAGTTAATAATACTGTGCTGTATATTTGAAATTTGCTGATGGTGGATATATTTTTTTGTTTATTTATTTATTTTGAGAGAGAGAGTGCATGGGTAAAGCAGAGAGAGAGAGAGAGAGAGAGAATCCCAACCAGGCTCCGCACTGTCAGCACAGAGCCTGACGTGAGGCTCAGACTCACAAACTGTGAGATCATGACCTGAACTGAAACCAAGAGTCAGATGCTTAACCAACTGAGCTACCCAGGCTCCCCTTCACCATTTTATTTTTAAGTAATCTCTACAACCAGCATGGGGCTTGAACTCACAACCCTGAGATCAAGAGTTGCACACTCCACTGACTGAGCCAGCCAGGCACCCTATCTTAGACATTTGTAATCATTAAGATTATTTAAACAAATTAATTATTAAGATTATTTATACATCATCATTTAGGAGAGGCAACATCACTTCCCTCAGACAGTTTTCCTGAATGCCCTCCCCAACCTTGAGGTAGTTTCTGAGGCCCAGCAGCCCTGAGGAACAGAGGCAGCACCCAGGAAGCCCCAGGCCTGGAGGGGTGAGGGGCAGGGAGACCTGGGGAGCCAGGACAGAGGAGGAAGACGGGGGGTGGAGGTGGAGGAAGGCCGGCACTGGAGCTAGGCCCAGAGAGACTCCTGGTCCCTCTTCTGCTTGGCTGTCAGAGTGGTGTCCTCCCAGGGCAGAGGGGCGATGCCCCAGAACCAGGAGCCCACCATCTGTGTGTGTGTGTGTGTGTGTGCGCACACACGGGCATCTGTCAGGGTTCTCATGGGCACAAGTCATCCGAACCCAACCTGACTTAAGAAACAACCCTATAAACCAGAAGTCTGGACATAAAGTGTGCTGAGCTGGTGTCAGGGAGGACAGGGCTTGGGCTCCAGGCCAGCAGCTCTGACCATGAGCCCCGTGGGGCAGGGGCATTTGCTGCCTGCAGGAATGGAACAGGTGCTGGCTCTCTGGCACCCCCTGACTCCCCAGGAGGGCCCTGAGCTCTGTCCCTGAGCTGTGCCAAGCAAGGAGGGTGCCCGGGCTTCACCTTAGCACCCCGAGCCTCAGTCACCGTGTCCTAAGGACTCAGAGGCATTTCTTCCACAGCCCACGTCTCCTCTGGAAATGGGGTCCAGGGGTCAGAAGGTTCTGTTCATCCGTCTTTCTGAGCTGCTGTGTCTTTGGTGAGAAGATCAAGGACAAGTTCATGTAGACAGACTGTCGTTAC